CGCGGCACTCCGCAGCGCACTCCGCAGGATTGACCAAGAGACACCACAAAAATGGAGCATTTTTACTGATTCGAAACCAGCTCTCCAATGTCTACACAATGCTCTACGTCGTGGACCTCAAGACCAATTGGCGCTCGAAATACGACAACTGTACCATCACCTAATAGACGAAGGACATGACATATCTTTTCAGTGGTTACCAGGCCATTGCGGCATCATCGGTAATGAGCATGCCGACAATGCTGCTAAGAATGCTCACGAAAATGGAGTGATGGAACCTATTCCACTATCAAGAAGCGACGCAGCAGCAAAGATTAATACACTTGCGCAGGATGTCGCAAGGTCTATGCGGAATACGCCCGGTTTTCTCCACACCCGTCTTCACCGCCTGGACCCATGCCTACGACTTACTATTCCATCTGGCCTACCCCGATCCGAGACGACCCTTCTCTGCCGTATGTGGCTTGGGGTGTCTTTCACGAACGCTTTTGCCTGCCGCATCGGAATGAGAGACAGCGCTACATGCGACCATTGCGACAATGACGAAACAATTGAACATATTTTATGTCAGTGCCCCCAGTACAGCTCTCAGCGACAGTCCCTCTCAGCAGTGTTTGCTCGCCTCGACGACCAGCCATTTTCTGAGCAGTCAATCTTGGAATGTCGGAAAGATCGAGCTTCACGCCAGAAAGCAACGAAGGCGCTGATGAAGTTTCTGCGAGCGACCCGCCTCGTTGAACGATTGTGACACTACTGTGTGCGAGTGTGTGTGTGTGTGTTAGTGCTTCTCTTCCTCCCTTTCCCCTTTTTTTTTCCTTACCCCTTCCCCAGTGCAGGGTAGCAAACCGGATATGTTTTCTGGTTAACCTCCCTGCCTTTCCGCATTAAATTTTCTCTCTCTCTCTTTTACTTGTTAAGTGATTATTCAATAGAAAAATAAAAAGGGAGTCCCGCAACTGTCTGCATCAAAGTGTGACACCTCAGCAGTAGCTCACAAGGGAATGAATAAGGAGGGATTAAAATAGAGAGAGAGAGAGAGAGAGGTAAAGGTGGAGTTCAAAAAGTAAACGATTGGGAGACGGTTAGAGAAGTTCGTGGACGTGGCCCCGATCGGCGAGCGGTCATTGAAGTGAGGACATCGCGGACCGTCACCCATAACCACCGAGCGTCTCCAAACAGATGGTCAATTTTCCCACTTGATAAGGCGTGTAAGGCTTCCACCTTCGTTTAAAACTCGCAAATCATGCATCGCATAGACGTCTCCGAGACGATATTGTGCGTGTAGTTTGTTTTCTTTCGTGATAGCACTCCAACGGCATGCAGTTTCTGAGTATATGGGACTGTTAGAGGTAATGAAGATAAGTTGAATGATTACAATGTGGGCAGGCTATGCCCCGCACATTAGCAAAAACATTAAAATATACTATTATAGCAGATTATAGCAGAGTAACCGGAGCGTCCACGGAGGCTGAAACTTATAGCAAATGGTAGAGTATAGCGTTCGTGTTACTCCATAACAAGAAACAGTCGACAGGGTCTTTCGCGTAGGTGAAGTGTGGGGTTCTTCTATGGGAGCATAATGCCGTCGCGCCGTAGAGCATACCAAGTACTCTAAATCGTAAACCACTTTTTTTTCTAAACACATAAGAGCATATTCATCTTTTTGGCTGTAGCTGTGGCATACATCAGTGTGAAGTCCACGGGTTGCATTGACGTTCTTTTGTAGTAGAGTGCCTAGTACTCCAAGTCGTTACTCACTTTTTTCTAAACACACATGTGTCATACTCCTTTGCGTCGTCGTGAACTTGTTCGTGGCGTAAAAAATTATGGACCATAACGGCATGCAGTTCCCTCAGATGTCAACAGAACCTCACCAAGTGTGAGGCTCAGGGGACGGCTTTATGCTCTAACATAGTAGAGTACCAAGTACTCAAAATCGTTAACCACGTTTTCTAAACACATGCATGCATGATACGTCTGCCATGTATATTAGAGTAATGATGTGTTCACTACAACATGGTGATTCTTTTCGTGGCACATAAATGTGCTGATGTATATGTGCCCCTTATGACTGGAATATTGTGAATTTTGTGTGCATAAATAAATAAACTTTTTGTAAACAGAATAGCGAAAATATTATGGAAGCTGTGTCTTCAGCTCGCCTTCGAAGCATTCGTGCACCGAAAAATACAACAAAGTGGCGTTCACGTAATGTGAACTAATCTAGCCATACCGGACGGCTTTCATCGTCATCTCGTCTTAAGCGAAGGCCCTAAAAGAAAGAAAACATTGTAAGTTGTCTGTATTTATTTCGTAACAGTGAAGCTGTGTAAGCCAGCCGTAAAGACAGTGGGGTTTTTTTAAATCTGAACAAGATGATACCATCCTGATAAATGGGTATGTCCCGCAGAAATTAGACGAAACCCATAGCTCACCGCTGTTTCGATAAAAATGAGGGAGACAACAGACGGAGGTAGCCAATCCCGATTAAGATTACTTGACAGACGTAACCGGTAATTGAGAAATGTCCGCACCACCATGTCCACCATGTCCGCACGTTTCAGTTCCGCCGAAGCATCTGCATAGAGTGCCTCAGCGGTACATACAAGAGAGAATGCTAAGAAACGGGAAAGACAACAGCGACTGCGAGAAGACCGTGAAGGGATGGAAGCCCTCTGGCGAACGATGACGTGTATTCCCAGAAATTGGGAACATATGGACGTGGCGTCCTCTCGCGGCATGGAACGGCAGCCTGGCATAACTGTATGGGAAATTGATGAGAAAAATCATATCTCTTGAAAAAAGAAATCTAGTTATCAAAAACGATTCCGGGCTACATGTAGCAGAGATACACTGGTACATTTTAGTAAAATCACAGTATCGCACTATAGCGTCTGAGTTCTGAGGACAATTGAACACCGCCCCTAAAAACGCACGGGAACCCCCCCCCCTTTCTTCTTATAGTAAACACTCTAGGAAGCCGCGCGGTTCCTAGGGGAGCACTGTAATTTTACCAGACTGTTCAAATAAGTCTCTGCTGTATAGAACCGAGAGTCGTCTTTGATAACTATCTTTTTTCGCCAGATATGATTTCCTATTAGGCTACGGCAGACTTACGTTACAGATACGGTGCTAGATGCACAGGTCCCAAAATCCTGGTCATGCCCCACTGATCTATTGGAGGCAGCGGACGTTCAGTTTTAGCGCTAGTTTCTATTTCCAGAGTTCTGACATCCGTGTTGTGCCTGTTACTGCCCGTGGTTTAATTAACTCGAGCTTCACTGACCTGTGAAGCAACCTCCAGAAAAAAAACCTAGCATCACTTAGCTAAAGCTTACCAACAATTAGATTATAGAATAATCAACTTTCGCTGTTTCAAGCTTTGCGCGATGTTGTTCAAGGTACAATTTTTTTTTCAACATGGCATTGTGATCTGGCATGTGATGGGACAGGCAACCTTGTTTTGAAGGAAGACTAAACATAAAAGCGTTTTCCCATCATTTCAGTAAATTACCTTTTCGCACATTCTAACAGCAGAACTCTTGCAAGGACAAAGCGCTTGGGATATTAGGAAGGAAATCCGCGAAAGGAAAGGGCATGACGTCTTTACAGCTATCGCACCAAATAAGAGTGACAATGTAATTTAGATCACCTCTGCTATGCCCGGTATGTTTCTTCATCAATATAAATGAAGCATTGTTCCTTGAGTGTTCGTTCTTAAAATGTAGACTATCAGGTTCCAAGGCATTTTGTTTCTTTATGCAAGTATACTGTTTTGTTTGTTTGTTTTTTGTAATAAATGCTGGTATGTGCACGCCAGAAGCGACTCCTGATCTATTTACCTCAAAACTCTTTTTTTAACTAACAACCTAAATCAGTGGTATCAGCTGCTTAGTACTTCCATGCAATGTAAAAACTACCCTGAATGACTAACTCCACCTGGCGCATAAGCACGCCAACTGTATCTGCACATGCAAACTTTATTGCTATGCGAGTGTAGGCACGATGAACTAATAAATTTTGCAGGTGTAAGACAAGGTATAAGGGTGCACGATCTCGACCGAGAAAAAGACGTAGATTTTTTTCTTGTCCAGCCACGTAATATGTAGGGCAGATAACCTAAAGTACTCGTTTGTAGCTATAGGTTTAAGCTGAGAGCGATATTAAACTCGTCCTGCAGGAGAATGCCGCAGGATTTTCAGAAGCCACGAATGACAACGCGGGCGATACTAAAAAAGAAAGCTGAACCATGGCTGCTTGATAGATTGTATTTAAAGATGAGGTCATGACATCTCATTTCACTCCTAGAACTAGGTCCTGCAAGTTACTAAGATTAAAAGAAAAATAATGTTGGTTCAGAATATGGATCATGAATAACAAGTAATATAGAGCGGGAGATGTTTAAGTAAAGACGCGTTAAACTTTTCTACAACAGTGATTGCTAAAGACCGAAGATTTTCTCTCGTCTTCATGCCCACTGCATAAGCCATTCTCATAGCTGAAAAAAAAGGGGCGGGGCGGGGGGTAAGAGACACTTTTCACAAGAAAATCGTCAATTTTACATGTGTATACATACACGCACACATAAACAGCCCCGCCGCGGTGGTCTAGTGGCTAAGGTACTCGACTGCTGACCCGCAGGTCGCGGGTTCGAATCCCGGCTGTGGCGGCTGCATTTTCGATGGAAGCGGAAATGTTGTAGGCCCGTGTGCTCAGATTTGGGCGCACGTTAAAGAACCCCAGGTTGTCGAAATTTCCGGAGCCCTCCACTACGGCGTCTCTCATAATCATATGGTGGTTTTGGGACGTTAAACCCCACATATCAATCAATCAATCGCACACATAAACACAAGCACGTACATACATATCTAGAACGCTATTCCCCCCCCCCCCCCTTCCCCCAACTCCGCAAAAATGTTTTGGCTACGACCATGGTGAACGCGAAGCATATACGTGCATAGGAGATACACACACACAGTGGCAACGCGCTATAGACTCACGCCATCGCGCGCCTCTCTGCTGGGGCTCTTCGCCGGGCTTTTAAACCCTGGGCCCGGGTCTCGGCAGCGTCCCGTCGTCGACGCAGTAGACCAGTTGGTCTACTGCGCCCCGACGCTCCCGTATTTATACCTACTGCCGCCAGAGGCGGGAAGGGGGGGTCGATATGAGCGTGCGAGAGAGCTTCGTGAAAGCGCGTTGCCGCCGCCGCTGACGCGCTTTGATGCAAGGCCTACTGCAGTAGGCCAGCTTCGAAGTGTAGCAGCAGCAGAAAGCGCGCCTTGGCTGTATAGGCCTACAGCCCGCGCGAGCCGGGTTGAACGCGGAGGGGAGGCCCTGCTCGTGGCGGCCATGGTTAGGCCGATCGATGAACGCACCCGCTCGACAGCCTGTACAGCTTAGCTCTCTAAAACAGTGTCTGGTGCGTTTCGCGCAGGGCAACGAAGACGTGTGGGGGTTCGTTGGGAATAAGGTCCCTGTTGGGAAAGCATGATCGCGCCACCACGGAGGGCGTAATGCAAGTGTCAGGTGCAGGTGTCTATAGAGGCAGCAAGGATCGTCTTCGTAAACAGTACTGGATGCCTTGTCAGCTTGTATATACTGGAATTCCAGGATGCATGGTATGGCAAATAAATTACGACGAAGGCCGCAAGGTGCTATAAAAGGGGTTGATGTGCTAAAAGTTGTTGATGTGATAAAAGGGGTTTTGTGCTATAAAAGGGGTTGATGGAGAGCACCATGAAGCCAACTCTCGAAAATTGACATATACAAGTTTAACAAAAATAAGAAGGCTGCACTATATGGCTATATTCGTGGACAAGCTGAAACTTCGACGAAACAGAGGGAAAAAGTACAAGGGGGCGATGAATTACATGGGCTGCGCTCAATAAGATTGTTGACTGGATGACTTGAATCGATTGCTTGGACCGGCTATTTAAGTGACCCTTAATGAAAATTGGATTGATATGGGACACAAAGAAAAGAAGTGCAAGCAAAAAGGACGAAGATGATGAGAAAGGAAGGGTAAACGCAAATATTTTGCAAAGTATCCGATCCCAGAACATTTCTCTGTTATTATTTCATGAAAGGCTTAAGGATATTCCATTTCCACCTGGAATCTACAGACAAAGCATCGTAAGAACTTTTCGCAGTCGGGTTATCTGACGAACTTCGATAAATTCGTGGGGTCTGAATGTCATTAACTAACATTTTATTAAACTAGGATGAACAGTAGCTTATGAGCTCAATCGTTATCTCATCATCGTTATCTGTACATTCACAATATCACCTAAGGCAAAATAGACTCAGAACATCTATGTTCCGAACAAAATATACTGTACTCAGACACTAGCCTATTTAATGCCACATTTTCTGAATAATAATCGAGAAATCGCCAATATGATCCAAGACAACTCTTCGACACACAGCCTACGGAAAAAAAGTTAAAGATTACCTCTTGTTTAGCTCCTAATCTTCTCTTTATATTGTGCATTTGCTGTCTTTTGATTTTTTCCTATTTTATTCTATACTGTTTTGTAACATTGATCATCATCAGGGCTTGTATAAACATTTTCATGTCATGCACCATTAGTGTGTACCGAAGGTAACTATTCTACCTATTGTGTTTTGATCGCCTGTGCGCCTGTTCTTCTTTGTTTTGTTTTTTTGCCTTTTCTTGTTACCTGTATTTGCGCATGTACCACGTCTTTACACCCCTGAGCAATGTATTGGTAGGGGGGCCTTTGTCAGGCAGTTGCATCTGCCTTTATAGCCTCTTCATCCCAGACCATGACTGTCTGAATAAATTTCAAAAAAAAAATAAGCTGTCGCCCTTTTTGCATTCAAAAGAGCTCGTTGTGGATCTATAAGACTGTGTGTTTAGAAAAAGTGGTTAACGAGGTTGATATGGGCGAGCATGAAGCGATCCCATGGACAAGAAAAATATGTGCGGTGAAGACTGGACACATAAAAGTAACAAGTATACGGCAACAGTAAGTGTACTTTGGCAGAAGTTACTTATTACAATTTAGCTTAATTGGTTCCGAGTCACAGGTTTAGGGCGAAAGATTACTGAAAATAAATAGGTGCTCGATCCATGGTTGCCTATACATGGAATATATTACACTGCCGCTATATAAGCTCCCCCTTTTTCTTAGTGCTTGTTCAAATGTTCATGTTGTTTTTTTTTACTTTTTCTTACTTTTCAAATGCATTCTTATTCAAACGACTACTCATCCCCTTGTGCTAAGAAGACATTCGTAGCTTTTCTTCGTTTTGCTTTGTTTTTTTGTTTTGCACGTGGGCTTCTGGCACTCACCGATAATTATGTTCTCTTTTTGTCGTTTATCTTTCAACATAAGCCGTCCTTTGTTCTGACATTTTTCGCTTAATCTAAACTAGAAAAGAGGGTTAAGCAGGCATGGTGAGGACGTTAATCATGAAAAGCTTCTTGTGTGGCAGTCCTACATGCTGAGGGAAGGGAACTAAAATAGGAAAGAGAGAGAGAGCAGCGTACAGTGCGCTGCGCAACAAGGGTACTTTCAAACTCACGAAGAAAACACAGTCGTTTCGGCATCTGCAATGGACGCCCGATAGTAAGCCCCCCTCTTCACCCGTGACGAAATCACGCCCTTATCTGCGCATATCGGGCTTCTCAAAGCTGCACGGATCGCCCCCAGTCGCCCGGTTATTTCCCTCCTTCAGCATCCGGAGCATCTGCGTACGCGTTCAAGCCGGGATTAAAACATCATTAGAAGAACTCGGGGACAGAGATAATGGCCAACCCCATCGGCAATTGACGGCAAAAAAGAAACAAAGAAAACAGGGAAAAAAAAGAACGTCATCTCGCTGTCGCCGGGCTTGTATACGACATGCGCCACAGCTTGCTAAAGCTGGTCCATGCGCGGAGCAGCTACAGAGGTAAAGTAATAAAACCGTTCTGCTGTGTGTCGTTTGTATACTAAGGCGGTAATATATAAAACGTAGAAACGCAGTACGTAAATAAAAAACCAAGGAAAGTTCGGGCAGATTTGGAGAGGGAGTCGGGATGGCGATGCAAGAACGGGAGATTGTTTTCCGGCATGCACGACAGCGTACGAGCCAAGTCAGAAGCTAGGGAGGGAGGCGGGGAGCAAGAAAAAAAGGAAACACCCACGCAAAATAAAAATAAAGTAAAACTATAGAAATATGAAAAAAGCGAGCGGCAGTGCCGCGGGGGAGGCGTCCCCAAAAGAGAGGCGCAGGGAAGAACGCGCTTCCCCATTGGACGGGAGAACGCAAGTCAGCCGCCCTCCGTGGACTCCCAGTCGTTCGGCTGGAGCTGCTTTTAGTACTCGCTTTGCACTTTCTCGATTTGCTTACTTTGTGCCTTCATGGCTTGTCTTTCTGTCTCCTTTTCTTTGATCACCACGCCCGTTTCGAAGCGGCCTGTGCTGCTCGTGTCATTACCATTCCTGGTCGTCCCTCGGCCACCATTTTTTTATCTTTGTTGAAATAATTTGTTGATCTTCTTTAACAAGAGTGACGGTGAGAGGGAGTGCATTGGCGTTGGTATTCGAGACGTTATTGCTCGCGTAGAAAGACATCAAAAAGGTGGCTATGCGATTTCAAGTTCCCGTCTTTGCTTTCTTTGCGTTTGTACGCCAATACCGAAAATGGTATACATGTATGTATGTATGTATTTATGTATGTATGTATGTATGTATGTATGTATGTATGTATGTATGTATGTATGTATGTATGTATGTATGTATGTATGTATGTATGTATGTATGTATGCTTTCTATCAGTTTAAAGCATTGCATAAATGTGGAGGGCATGCAGTATTTCACCAAACGTTATTTCGGAGAGGACTATCCACGTACTAAATAAGTATTCCACGGTAAGCAGGAGGGAGGTATAGAAGAATTATTAATTTTTCTCCTTCAACTCTGGCATTAACATTTGTGAACTCAAACAACAAACAGCAACTATAGGAAAGAAAAGGCAACATACGGTTCACTAAGTCCAAACGCTCATGCCTATTAGATAAAACAAGGACGTACCATGTCATTGTTTTTTTTGTTATTTTTATCACTGTTGTCGTTGTTGTTTGCTACAGAGACGTATACAAGGACACAAAGGCAATGTGGGGAACACCTTTCTGACAACCGCTACCAAGATGGGGACACAACGCCCCGCTTCTCGTTAGCTTGCACCGACTACAAACAGAAGGTGAAGAAGACAGGAACCATGAACTGGAAAAGAAACATTGTAAATAAAAAATAAACGATTCGTATAAAACTCAGACAAAAGTAAAGTAGGAGCACGAACGGATTTCTACAAAATGGGAGGCCAAGGTGTGCAGAAAAGTTAACATGGACTTTGTGCCTGGTTGAGCCAAGCATTATACACACTCTCGGAACGATCGTCGAGCGTCGTGGAGGCCCTTGGATCCAAAGGGGGCCCTCATCCAAGCTGATCTGAAAGGGTCCTGAACTATATGGGGCTCATACGAAGATCTCTTATAATTTCACAAATAAAAGTTTCCTTTCCTTCTTTCTCGAGGGGCGGACGCTTTCGGCTACAAGTGGTCTACTTGTCTCCATTAGCAATACACGCTGCATGCATAACAAATGTGTGCACATAGGGTGCACACGTCATAGACAAATGAGTGTTTACTCATCGAGAAAACTTTGAGAACTGAATTATCGTAGTCAGTAATAGAGACAATGGGTCCCGGCGCTGTTCACCCCAATAAAAAAAATGATGAACCACTAAGCCGCGCGAGGCTTGAAACAGCAAAACTGGACGATTCTGAAGACTAATCTTATCGCTTCAAGGTTTATGCCAGGTCTTAGCTAGGTGATCTAGCTTCTAGGTATATTCTAGATTGTTAGTCTTTAGCCAAGGTTGTTGCTGTAGGTTCGTCCTATAGATACGTTGATTCTCAGCGCAGAAAGTTCGGAGTCAAACCACCGACAAACGCAACACGGTTGCCCAAAGCTTTGGAAACAAAACTGGCGTTTAAAACGAGCGTTAGCACCTCTCGCACATCTATATGGCATAAACGTGGACGTGGTCGTTATCGTATAAGCCTTCC